ACCACCACCACCATCATCATCATCATCATCATCGTCATCATCTTTGTCATCATTAGCGCTCCTCGACGAACGCGGGGACCCGCATGGCCATGACGTCGGTGGCAGCAGCGAGAGCGAGGACGGAAGGCATTATGTCAGCAACGTGGGAAGTGGCTCTCCGTCGACAGGCTTGCGGAGGAGAACTTCAAGTGCAAGTGTGGCGCCAGCAGGGCGGAGTCACCAGACGGAGCGGAGCAACCTGAGCGCGGTCAACGCGACGGAGTCTGCGACGAATGGGGCTGGCCAAGCCTCGGCGCTGGCGGTCGCGGCAAAAGGGCCCCGTCGCGACCCCCGCCGTCACCACTGGCCCCGTCGCGACCCCACCCCATCGCGACCCCCCCGTCGCGACGCCCTCCGTCGCGACCCCCCCCGTCGCGACCACCCCCGTCGCGATCCCCCCCGTCGCGACGTTTCCCGTCGCGACCCCCCGCGACCCACTCCCCGTCGCGACGCCCCCCGTCGCGACCCCCCCGTCGCGACACCCCCTATGGCGACCGGCCCCGTCGCGACCCCCCATCGCATCTTTTCCCGTCGCGACCGCCCCCCGTCGCGACCGGCCCCGTCGCGACCCACCCCGTCGCGACCGTCGCCCCGTCGTCGCGACCCCCCCGTCGCGACCCCCCCGTCGCGACCCCCCCGTCGCGACCCCCCATCGCCTGTCGCGACCCCCCCCGTCGCGACCGGCCCCGTCGCGAACCCCGTCGCGACCGGCCCCCGCGACCCACCCACCCTCGCGACCCCCCCGCTGTCCACCGCGACCCCCCTCGCAGCCCCCCCGTCGTCGCGACCGGCCCCGTTGCGACCCCCCTGCCGCGAGCCACCCCCGGTCGCGACGCGAGAATGGATATGAGCGGGAGGAAGAGGAAGATGATGAGGCAGGAGAAGGAGGAACGACAACAACACAACAACAACAACAACAACAACAACAACAACAACAACAACAACAACAACAACAACAACAACAACAACAACAATAACAACAACAGCAACAACAACAACAACGACGACGACGACGACAACAACAACGGCAACAACAACAAAACAACAACAACTACAACAACAACAACAACAACCTCAACAACCAACAACCTCAACAACCAACAACAAAAAAAAATCAACAACAACAACAACAACAACAACAACAACAACAACAACAGCAACAGCAACAACAACAACAACAGCAACAACAACAACAACAACAACAACAACAACAACAACAACAGCAGCAGCAGCAGCAGCAGCAGCAGCAGCAACAACAACGACAACAACACCAACAACAACAACAACAACAACAACAACAACAACAACAACAACAACAACAACAACACAACAACAACAACAACAACAACAACAACAACAACAACAACAGCAGCAGCAGCAGCAGCTGCAGCTGCAGCAGCTGCAGCAGCAGCAGCAATAACAACAACAGCAACAACAACAACAACAACAACAACAACAACAACAGCAGGGGGATCCAAGGAGCAGGAAGACCAGGGAAACGCGGAGGAGGGGAAAGGAGGGGGTCGACGACGACGAAGGAAGGAGAATCGGATCCCAAAATGTGGCCCGCGCTGGAACGACAGGGCTATTCTGATTGACGGGGGCCAAGCGCCGACCTTGAAGTGGGACCCACGCTCCAGCGTGAGCACCATCACGGTGCAAAGTTACGATTGGAAATTGACTACCTACCAGATCAACCCAACCCAACCCGAAGACCCGAATTTGACCCCAATTTCGGGTTGGGGGGGGTACGGGTTCCATGTGTTTTTTCAACGTTCCCCGACCCCCCCCCCACTGGAAATGGAGGACAAATTGAGGGCTTCGGGTTGGGTTGGGGTGGTTTGGTGGGTGGTGAGAAATTACACGTGACACGTCAGTGAACGCAACACACGGTGGAGGCGGGGCCCCGAAAGCCCAGGTTCAGGGGAGACCAGATCAGAGTCAGCGTAAAGGTCACAGGTCGTCCCGACTGCGGCGAACGGCCAGAAAGGGACGCACCATCGCACGGCTTGGTCCGGGCCAAGGAGAGGGCGAGGAGGAGGGAGCGGCAGGAGCGAGGAAGAGGAGCACGATGGGGGGGGAGGACGACCAGGAGCAGCAGCGACAGCCGCAGGAGGGAAGGGGAGGGGAGCGAGCGAGCGACGGCGCCCAGTAAGGTCGAAAGGACAACTGACCACACGAGCGAGAGGAGGCGGCAGGCCAGGCGGGTCCCGCCTGGCCTGCCTCCCTCGCCCTGACGCGGCCGAGCAAGGCCGCCGTGCGATGAGGGGCGTGGCATGAGGGGGGGCGGGGCAGAGGAGGGCGGACGAGGAGGAGGCAGAGGAGGAAAGCAGGGAGGAAAAGCAGTCCTGCGTCTTGGCTGCGTGGTCCTGGAGCTCCTGCACGAGTGGGGCCCTGCCACAAGCCTCGTACTCCTCCTCCTCCTCCTCCTCTTCCTCCTCCTCCTCCTCCTCCTCCTCCTCCTCCTCCTCCCCCTCCTCTTCCTCCCTTCCTCCCTTCCTCCCTTCCTCCCTTCCTCCCTTCCTCCCTTTCTCCCTTCCTCCCTTCCTGCCTTCCTCCCTTGCTCCCTTCCTCCCTTCCTCCCTTCCTCCCCTCCTCCCCTCCTCCCTGCTCCTCCTCGTCCTCCTCCTCCTCCTTGCCCTCCCCCACCCACCCACCCACCCTCCTCTCGTGCTATTCCTCATCGTCCCCACCACCACACCACCCTCCTCCCCTCCTCCTCCTCCTCCTCCCTCACCTCCTCCACCTCCTCCCCTCCTCTCTCCTCCTCGTCATCCTCCTTTTCCCTCCTCCTCCTCCTCCTCCTCCTCCTCCTCCTCTATTTCCTCCTCCTCTCCTCCTCCTCCTCCTCCTCCTCCTCCTCCTCCTCCTCCTCCTCCTCCTCCTCCTCCTCCTCCTAGTACTATTAATAGTAGTGTTATTCTTAATATTATTATTAGTGTTCGTGCTCTTCTTATCTTGATTAGTACTATCACTCCTTTCTTATGAATAGTAATATTACTGTTATTAATAGTAATCGTGTTCCTATTCTCCATGTTATTGTTGATGTTAATATTCGTCGTAGTATGATGACCAGTATCAGTAATACTAGCATTCTGAATATGAGTATTTCCATTATTAGGATGGCTATTATATGTATTAGTACTATTTTCGTTTTAGTATTATCATTAGTCTTCACATGATTAATCGTTTTTTCTTGTTATTATTCTTAGTATCATTAGTCGCAGCATTCTTATGATTAGTGCTCGTCTTCTTCTGACTGGTCGTAGTAGTATTATCGTTCCTCTTTTTGTTGTGTGTTTATTATTGGTATTGATATGATTCGAACTGTGTTTCTTACTATTAGCGTTCTTCTGCTGTTTCGTATTATGATTATTATTATTAGTATTATTATTATTAGTATTATTATTCCTCCTACTCCTCCTCCGACTCGTCCTCCTCCTCCCTTACTCCTCCTCCTCCTCCTCCTCCTCCTCCTCCTCCTCCTCCTCCTCCTCCTCCCCCTCCTCCTCCTCCTCCCCTTCCTCCCCTTCCTCCCCTTCCTCCCCCACTAAGGCTGCCAAGGATCCCTCCTCGTCCTCATCCTTCTCGTCCTTCCCGTCAGCATCATCATCGACAGTTGCTTCCTCCTCCTCATCTTCCTCATTCACCTCTTCCTCCTCCTCCTCCTCCTCCTCCTCCTTTTACTCATCCTCCTCATCATCATCATCATCATCATCAGCAGCATCATCAGCATTAGTAGCATCATCATCACCATCATCAGCATCATCATCATCATCATCATCATCATCATCATCATCATCATCATCATCATCATCATCATCATCATCATCATCATCATCATCATCATCATCAGCATCATCATCACAGCATCATCATCATCATCATCAGCATCATCATCATCAGCATCATCATCAGCAGCAGCATCATCATCAGCATCATCAACATCATCATCACCATCATCATCAACAACAGCAGCATCATCATCAGCATCAGCATAAGCATCATCATCATCCTGGTAATACTCGTCAGCATCAGCATCCGCATCATCAGCATCATCATCACAAGCATCATCATCATCATCAGCATCATCATCATCATCATCATCATCATCATCATCATCATCATAACCACCATCAGCATCATCATCGTCATCATCATCATCATCATCATCATCATCAGCATCATCAACGTCACCATCGTCATCGTCGTCATCAGATTCCGCATCAACATCATCAGCGTCGTTATCATCATCGTCATCATCATCAGCAGCAGCATCATCATCAGCATCAGCATCATCAGAATCGTCAACATCATCAGCATCAGCATCAGCATCGGCATCCTCATCATCGTCAACCTCAGCATCACCACCGTCACCATAACTATCATCATCACCATCACCATCAGCATCATCAGCATCAGCATTGGCATTATCATCCTCAGCCTCATCATGATCGTCGTCATCGTCATCATCACCGTCCCCATCACCATCATCGTCATCAGCAGCATCAGCATCAGCATCATCATCATCAATAGCACCATCATCATCAGCATCACAATCATCATCACTGACAACAACAAGAGCAGCAGCATCAACATCATCATCATCATTATCATCAGCATCATCATCATCATCGTCAGCAGCCGCAGCATCGTCATCAGTCGCATCAGCATCATCATCAGCAGCAGCATCAGCATCAGCATCATCATCATACACGTTATCAGCCTCAGATTAATCATCGTCGCCATTATCATCACCTGGACATCATCATCATCAGCATGAGCATCGGTATCGGCATCATCAACCTCAGCATCGTCATCATCATCATCAGAAGCAGCAACACCATCATCAGTATCGTCCTCCGCGTCATCATCGTCATCATCATCATCACCATCATCATCCGTATCGTCATCAGCATCATCATCATCATCACTGTCACCATCACCATCGCCATCATCGCCAGCATTATCACCATCATCACCTGCATACCATCATCACCATCACCAGCCGCATCATCATCATCATCATCAGCAGCAGAATCGGCCGTATCATCATCGTCAGCATCATCAGCATCGTCCTTATCATCATCATGATCATCAGCAGCAGCATCAGCAGCAGCTGCAGCAACATCATCATCATCATCAGAATCATCACCGTCATCACTATCGTCACCATCGTCATCAACATCATCAATAGTAGCAGCAGCATCGTGATCCATTGCCCTCCACCTCCTCCCCTTAGTCGTCCTACTCCTCCTCCTCGTCCTCCTCATCCTCCTCGTCCTCCTCCTCACCATCATCCTTTCCCTCCCCCCCCTCCTCTTATTCCTCCTCCTCCTCTCCCTCCTGATGTTTTTCGACTCGCCTTCGTCCCCCTAGCGTTGATGATTAGATCCCTCCTCCCTCTCCCCATCCCCTTCCTTCTCCTACGTATAATTCTCCACCTCCGCATCACCTTCTTCCTCCTCGTGATTACTGTCGGGCTTGAGTGCTTGCGTGATTGCGTGATTGCTTGCTCACTTGTTTGCGCAATTGCCTCCGTGCATACTTGCTTGCTGATGCAATTGCCTGCGCGCTGGCGTGCTTCGTTGCGCGATTCCTTCCCTTGAAGGGTTGGTTATTCGCATGCCTTCATGATTACGTGCACGCTTCCCTTCTTTGCTTGTGTGTAACTCATTCGCCCATCGGTCTTCGTCAACTCCTCTTTGGAGTTGCGTGAGTTAAACTTTCATGCATTCAACCACTCAGCGCTCAAACCTCCAGCCATGCATTCATTCCCGTCACCCCTTCATTCATTCAACGATTCAGCCCGTCACTTACCGATCGATTATTCAGTTATCAAGGCATGATGCCAGAGCCTCTCGAATTGCAACTCGCCAATCACATCGCTGATATATCGGTGCATTATGAAAGTGATTACGCGCTCTACTTCATCCATCGATGCACGCACTCTTGCCTGCACTCCATCTCATCCGAAATGCATCATGGCATTTGTTCGTTCACTTCGCCTCATCTCAGCTCGAATCACCCTGAACCAACTCAAGTCGCCACATCTTAGCCCACTTCATCTCAGCCACACTCTGCTATACCCTGCCGCTGCTCCTTCGCGGTGTCTTCCTTGCCGAAAGGTGCAATCTTGTTGAAGTTCATCTCGAGGTCGTGCGTCATCTCCTGGGCGGCTGTCGGGCAGTCGGACCGACAGGCAGGCCACTGTGCTCGGTTGCCAACCCGGGCGGCACAGGAGACACAATGGTCTGCGACGCTGGTGGTAGGACGTCGCGCCCGCGCGACTGTCGAGCTGGCTCTTGGGGCGTCAGCCAAATCACAGGCAGCCGATCGGACCACTCGGGCCACAGAACCGAGCGCGGAATCCGTGTATGGGCTGCGCTGGCGTCTCGCATGACGATATCCCGCGCCTCCTACCTGTGGGGGCGACGGTACGCAGACTGCCCGCCTGACAGCCGAAGGCGCGGCTCACCCAAAAACGCCATAGCATCTGTGTATCGATTTCCTGTCTGCGAGCTACAACTCGTCGGCCGCCTGCACAGCAGTTGCTTTCATTCGGTCCTACTGGTGACACAAAAATGCACCCTGGTGCCAGGAGATCCTGAACAGAATATCGCAAAAATCAGCAAGGCACGGCAGACAAAACATGGCACAACACGAGCAGCACGGCACAACACTGCGCGGCACGCATGCAGAGCAGTGTTGGCACGGCCCACACGGCACAACACGCGCGGCGTGGCGCGCACAGCACGGCACACACGGAGCAATCACGTAAGGCACGGCAGGCAAGACACAACACCCACGGCAAAGCAGTCCTGATCAGCATGGGCCACCATGCAAAAACGGTGTGGCCCCACGCGCGACATGGCCCGCAATGGAAGGCACGGCACTCCCGCCGTTGCACTCTTGGCACCGCCGCTTTCGCACAGCATAGCACGCGCGTCGCGCCACGCGCGGCGGGGCCCGCGAAGCTCGGCACCTCGCGCCGGCCGTGCACTGTACACGCGGCATGTCACGCATAGCATGATCTTTGCAAGGGGGCAGGCGCGGGTGTAGATTTAGAATCGGGACCCACACACATGCATGCACGTATACACAAAGCCAAACTCGAGCCATCCTGACCATATCATGACGCGAAGCAGCAACAATCTCTGGACCCTGGGCTATCCGCCGGGAACGAATGCTCTATCCCCTCTTTTCCCACAGATAGACTGCCTCCGCTGGCGCTGTGGCACCGCAGTTGCGACGGGGGCAGTCGGGCTACCGCCGATGGCACGAGAAGCGCCCATCCCAACACGGTGATTCGATTCGACGGGGCCGCCCCCGCAACCCCCCGCTTCGATGCCGCCTCTGGGGCAGCTGTCGGGGCGCCAACTTCAACCTGATGGAACCACGTGTCAACCCTACCTCGGGAGCGGCCAAGAGGGGGTGTCCAAGAGGGGGGGTGCAAATCATGACCGGCGGCATGTGGGCGGCCCAGCGGGGGGGCCAGGGACGTAATGGAATAAGAAGAGGCGCCATGAAATCTGGGAAAATACCATGGCCCGCGCCATGATATCCACCCCCCCTAGTCATCACCCCCCTCTTTGCCGTCCCCGACCACCCCTGCAGGTCAGACTTCTGAAAAACACCCGCCGGGGAACTCAGAGGCTGAGGGATGCCCGCAGCCAGGTGAACTCCAGCAGGAGCGCCCGGCACACCAGCGACGACTGGACCCGGAGGGGCAGGGTTCGCAGGTGACCGACGACCAGAAGCAGGCCTTACGGTCTTAACCGAGACGAAATGGCAGCCTTGCACGGCGGCACGCCGCACTGGAAACGCGAGCGCCCTCGCGCGACCTTACGCGGGGAGCTCAGCATGTCGGCGCAGTCGACTCCGTCCTCTCCCGCCGCTCAAGAGGTCTAGGGAAACAGAAAGTGGTATAAACATAAGAACTCGGAGGTCCGCGCGGATTTCTCGGATCGGCGCTGGGGCCCCCTCCCTGGCGCGCGGAGCGCGCCAGGGGCGCGCCGAGGGAGGGGGGTCCAGCGCGATCCGAGAAATCCTGCGCGGAAGATCGTTACTCCAAGTCTTTTGATAGTGATGCTTATGCCACTTTCTGTTCCCATGAGGTCGCACCAGCATTCAAAGCTGGGGGCGCGCGAGGCTCTGAGCGGACTGCTGGGTGCCGGCTCAATATCTCGGGCATTGGAGCAGAGAGCACGGAAAACCCAAGAATTCTGCTCCACTAGTCTCCCAGGCTGCTCCAATGACGTTTAAAAACCCCTTCCTCTCATGCCGGCGGCAGGCCCGCGGCGGCTCGCTCTCGGGTGGGAGGCCCGAGGGCCGAGGGCGAGCCCCCACGGCGAGGCGCGCGGCGGGAAGGTGCAGAGCTGCGGGGAGCAGGCGCTCCCACCGGGCGGCGCGCACAACGGGGGGGGATGCGGAGGGGGGAGGGCTCCCGCCCTCCCCGCCTGGCAGAGGAGGCGCCTAGGAGGAGGAGGAGTTGAGGAGGAGGAGGAGTGAGGAGGGGAGGAAGGAGGAGGAGGAGGAAGCAGAAAAAAAAGAATACGGGGAGGAGGAGGAGGAGGGGAGGAGGCAGAGGATGAGGAGGAGTGTGTGTGGTAGGAGACGAGGAGGAGGACGAGGACGAGGACGAGGAGGGAGGGAGGAAGGGAGGGAAGGGAAGGCAGCCGCCCTACATCTGCACTGCAGAGAGGGCCCGCGCCTTCTGAGAAGCAGGGGGTGCTGCTGAGAAGCCTTCCCCCCTCCGCCTACCCCCTCTGCGCGTGGCCGACCCACAACTATCACGCAGCCTCGTCTCTCTCTCGGGGGTGGAAAAACTACCCGAAAATCTACCCGATTGCAATCGAAACCGGCGCTCGAATCTTTGCCCGAACGCGCCAGAGTGTGACCGAAGTCCTTGGTCCGAAACCAAAGCGCTCTTCATTCTGTCGGTCAGAGTGTCGGTCACACTATATTTTCGGTCATAATTTCGGGCACGTCTTCAGTAACCCTTTCTGTTGTCGGTCACATACCTGTTCGGCTGACAGGGACCGAGCACCACGACAAGTCGCTGCTGCCAGCCCTCTCTGCGGGCCCAACTCGGCCCGCCCCTTCGGCCGAGCTGCTGCCGCGGGTGCACGCTCTGACGCGCTCTTTTTTCCGCTCAGCAAGCACGCTGCAATCATGCACTGTGTGGGCGAGGACTGGGACGAGCGCAAGGGCAGCGAGAATGAAGAATGAGCTCGAGACGTGAGGAAGAGAAGGAGGAGGAGGAGGAGGAGGAGGAGGAGGAGGAGGAGGAGGAGGATGACGAGGACGACGACGAGGAAACGAGGCGGGAGGATGAGGGGAAGGAGGAGAGGAAGGAGAGGATCCACTGAGGGGGCCACACTCCCAAAGGCCAGGCGTTCGCGTCCCGATTGTCCTCCTGGACTCTCCAAGTCTCATACCCTAAACACCCACATCAATGATTATCTGGGACGTGGGCTCTCGAAGATCTCGACCACATCTTCGGGGCGGCTTCTCCAACCGATCCGGGGCCGTCCCTCACCAGCCCCAGGCCACACCTGGAAAACCTGGCCGCCACATCTGCTCCGCTGCGCCAAAGTCAAGGAAAGATCTCCACGCACCCCTGGGCCATCGCCATCGCCTCCTCCTCCTCCTCCTCCTCCTCCTCCTCCTCCTTCTACTCCTACTCCTACTACTACGACTACTTCTTCTACTACTACTACTCCTACTACCACTACTCCACTACTACTACTACTATTACTACTATTACTACTACTACTACTACTACTACTACTACTACTACTACGACGACGACGACGACGACGACGACGACGACGACTACTACCACCTAACATTACTACTGCTGCACTACCAACTACGCGATACTACCATCCACCACCCATGCAGACCACCCCCACTAACACACTACTCCTAACCATACTACACATATAGTGCACTACTACTTCTAGCTACCACTACTACTACCACTACTACTACTACTACTACTACTACGACTACTACTAACTACTACTACTACTACTACTACTTACTAACTACTACTACTCCGAACTGATCTGGACTACTACATAACTGACTACTACTACTACTACCTACTCACTACTACTACTGACTACTCTACTACTACTACTACTACTACTGCTACTATTTACTATATTTACTACCACTACTACTACTACTACTACTACTACTACTACTACTACTACTACTACTACTACTACTACTACTACTACTACTACTAATGCGACGACGTCGACTCCTACTACTACTACTACTACTACTACTACTACTACTACCACTACTACTACTACGACTTAAACGACTACTGCTACGACTACGACTACTACGACTACTAAGACTACTACTACTACTTACGCAGGCCGAAAGATTTTCCTCTTGAGCCCCACATGTCGGAAGCGACGCGCCGATCCCCTCTGTTCTCCTCCCACTTCCTCTTGCCTCTTCCCTCATCCTTCCCCCCTTCATCCTGGGAAGACCCCCCTCCCCCTTATTCCCAGGAAATGAATGGATCCATCGTTTTTCACACACAGGAAATTGGATCCGCGCAACACAGAAATAGGATCCACGGAACTCTCCCACACCCGAAAACGGATCCAATTGGATCCATTCGTGTTCTCGTATATTTTAATCCGGGAGGAAAAAATCGGCCTGGGGATGTAGCATTATGAAGATTACCACTACTACTACTACTACTACTACTACTACTACGACTACTACTACTACTACTACGACTACTACTACTACTACTACTACTACTACTCTACCCCCTACTATACTACTACCCTACTACTCCTACTACTACTACTACTGACTAACTACTACACTACTACTACTATCTACTACTACGACTAACGACTACTACTAATACTCTACTTACTACTAACTACTACTACTACTACTACTACTTACTACTACTATCTACTACTCAGACTATTACTACTACTACACTAACTACTACTACTACTACTACATCCTACTCCTATCCTATTCCTTATTAGAACTAGCTTGATTAGAAATATACTCCTACTCCCCCTACAGGCCGGCAGATAGCGGGCGCATCCGGGTGGTCCCATCCTAACCTGTAAAAAACAATACAAAATCAACATTTTTCTTATTTTTTCCTCTCGACATGGACGTCCTGTCGTCCACGGCGATAATCCATTGCAAAAAATACACAAAGAGCACACGCGCGCGTTCATGTCAGAATCCTACCGAACACCGTGTGTTTGCAAGCATTTCAACATAAAAACATCAAAAACCCAATGCTTTTTCACAAAAATTGTACAAATTCCCCGCCCGGGCTCTCTTGCTGAAATCATAGGAAAACCATAGGAATCTTAAGAATTCTGTCAAATCCAGCGATTTCACGTCATCGCGCGGTGCACTCGCGATGCTCTGTCATGCACCCAGGCCGCGAATCCTGTGCAAAAAATACCACAAAGAGCATACTCGCGCGTTCATGTCAGAATCCTACCGAACACCGTGTGTTTGCAAGCATTTCAACATAAAAACATCAAAAACCCAATGCTTTTTCACAAAAATGCTTTGGGGTGTCCTGTCAGACCGTCGGGTTTCCTCCGGCCACCTCTGGCTTCCTGCGGTGTACCGGTCCATTCTCGACTCGTCTGGCAATGCGTGCGCGGCATTCAACACGCGCTCGCCAGTTCCCGTCGGCAACCGCCATCGCGGCCGCATCAGCTGTACCAAACCGGCTGGCCGGTGTGACTTCGGCCCCCAGTTGTGCCAGTTTTGCTTCTTATGTTGTGGGAGGGCGGGTGGGACTGGGCATGCCATGCTTGACTCGCTCGAGCTGGCTAGCTTGACTCCTACTCCTACTCCTACTCCTACTCTTACTCCTACTCCTACTCCTACTCCTGCTCCTACTCCTACTCCTTCTCCTACTCCTACGACTACTACGACTACTACGACTACTACGACTACTACGACTACTACTACTACTACTACTACTACTACTACTACTACTACTACTACTACTACTACTAACTACTAACTACTAACTACTACTAACTAACTACTACTACTTACTACTACTACTCACTACTACTACTACTACTACTGCTACTACGACTACTACTACTACTACTACTACTACTACTACTACTACCACTACTACTACTACTACTACTACTACTACTACTACTACTACTACTACTACTACTACTACTTGCTCCTCCTCCTCCTCCTCCTCTTCCTTCTCCTCCTCCTTGTCCTCCTCATCATAATCATCCTCTTCCTCCTCCACCCTCTCCCTCCTCGTGATGCCTCTACCCATCCGGGAGGCGGAAAGAGGGGGGATAGCAGGACCAAACAAGATGGGATCGGAATGTGCGTTGGATCGGACTGCATCGACACATAGCCGAAATCGGATGAGATCGGCCGCGACATAATGCGCAACAGCGCCA